TTCAGTGTAAGAAGTGGCTCTGTGATTTTATCAACAGACTGATCACACAGGATGAAAGCTGGGTCTATCCCTCTGATCCTGAGACTCAAGGCCAGTTGATGCAATTGAAGCATCCTGACTCACCGCCTCCAAAGAAGGCACGTGCCCAACTCTTGGCAGGCAAGGTCACGCTCACAGTATTTTGGGACCAGTGCGGAGTAGTATGGATGGATTTCCTACCAAAGGATTCCACGATCACTGAGAGATACTATGCTTCACTGCTGTGGAAGTTGTGAGAGTCCATCAAAACCAAGGTATTGCACCCATTCACAACTCACCTGTTGCCCACATGGAAGAAGCATGCTCCTATGTGCCTTTGAAATTCAACCACATCCCCCTTATTCACCCAACCTCATGTCATCAGACTTCCACTTCTTTCCAACCATGAAGTTACTTTCCCCCCACCAGACAGCATAAATGGCTTTATTAGGCGAAGGGTGCTTGGGGGCCTCAGAAGAAAAGCCCCCGCATCCTGCGTCCGATGCCCTAGCGGTCATAGAGGATGTTGAACTTGTTCACAAACTGGTTCATGATGTTGCAGGTCTTGGTGATGGTGCCCAGGTAGGTCATCAGGCCCACGTCATTGCATTGATCATAGAAATCTGTCTTGAACTTGTCTGTGCTCAGCACCGGTAGGTAGTGTTTTTGTGTCTGTGATCAACATCATCAATGGAGAGGCCACCATGCTCTTTGCAGAGCTGACCTTGGCCACGGAGGAGTGCATCAGGGTGGACCACGTGGCACGGATGATGGCCACTGGCAGCGGGGAGAACTCCACAGTGGCCAAACACCTCATTGCCCAGCACAGCGCCATCAAGATGCTGCACAGCCGCGTCAAGCTCATCTTGGAGAACGTCAAAGCCTCGGAAGCAGGAAAGATGCCCTTCAACTACGAGATCCTTCATGAAGTTACTTTTGAAGGGCAAGCATTTCTCAGATGATGAGACTCTGATTTTCGAAATCACAACGTCGCTTTTGGAGCAACCTGTCGACTTCTCCAAGAGAGGTGTTTACAAAGATGGGAGAAGTGTGTGTTCCTAGGTAGACCGATGGAGAGGAGGACTCAGAACTGGGCCAAGTTTCATTGCTGTCAGTCCACAGGAAGTTTGTCAGGGGAAATCTTTCATGAAGTCCCCTCGTAAAATACTCTGCCATTTTTGGTCCCCCTCTTTGGCTTGTTTCCTGCTGCTCTGCAATGGATTCACACTTCAGGAAAAGAGATTCCACCTCAGTATCAGGAACTTCCTGACCGTAAGAGATGTCCAACTGTGGAAAATGCTACTGCCTTTGAGTCTTCTTCTCCGGTGGTTTTTCATTTGTATTTTTATATTGTTTGCCAACATGGCAAAAACGCCAGTAAACATCTCCTTCTGGAAAACGAAGGTCAAAGAAACAATATCTAGGTAAAATCGTTTCAGTGGAAGAGAACGTAATGAGGCCACCCGATAGAAGAATCAATATTAATTAGGTTAGCAAAACTGTGCTCGCCTACGGTTAATACAGTTGCTCATTTGGGTCTTGGATGGAATTTAGGTCAAATTACAGCTCTGTGGGTTTGGTAGTCATTGTGGTGGCTTTCCTCTGGCACCTTGGAGGCAGTTCCTTCATTAGGTATTTTTTACCGTATAACAACTCCAAAACATGATATAATCAATCCAATGAAATGGTTCCGGGAGGTGTTTAAATTCTGACACAACAAACCAAGTTAATCTTGACGTGTGTGCAAGCTTTAACATGGTCCACTTTGTCAAAAATATTAAAAATTAACTAGGTGTTTTTAATTACAAAAATGTGAGTCAAGCACTGAAAGGGTTAAATGGATATAGCTCTCAGTCTATGAGAGATCTCTGTGGAAGAAGGGCCTCAGTGTGTTAGTAGGCCTCAGTATAAGTAGGCCTCAGTGTTAGTTTGCTCTCAGTCTATGAGAGATCTCTGTGGAAGAAGGACCTCAGAGTGTTAGTAGGCCTCAGTGTTAGTTTGCTCTCAGTCTATGAGAGATCTCTGTGGAAGAAGGACCTCAGAGTGTTAGTAGGCCTCAGTGTGTTTGCTCTCAGTCTATGAGATATCTCTGTGGAAGAAGGGCCTCGGTGTGTTAGTAGGCCTCAGTATAAGTAGGCCTCAGTGTTAGTTTGCTCTCAGTCTATGAGAAATCTCTGTGGAAGAAGGGCCTCGGTGTGTTAGTAGGCCTCAGTATAAGTAGGTCTCAGTTAGTTTGCTCTCTGTCTATGAGAGATCTCTGTGGAAGAAGGGCCTCAGTGTGTTAGTAGGCCTCAGTGTTAGTTTGCTCTCAGTCTATGAGAGATCTCTGTGGAAGGGCCTCAGTGTGTTAGTAGGCCTCAGTAAAAGTAGGCCTCAGTGTTAGTTCGCTCTCAGTCTATGAGAGATCTCTGTAGAAGGGCCTCAGTGTGTTAGTAGGCCTCATTAAAAATAGGCCTCAGTGTTAGTTCACTCTCAGTCTGAGAGATCTCTGTGGAAGAAGYGCCTCAGTGTGTTAGTAAGCCTCAGTGTTAGTTCACCTCAGTGTAGGAGAGGCGTCATTCTGAGAAAGCCTTCAATGTGAGAAGGCCTCAATGGGAGAAAGGCCTGGTGTGAGAAGGTTTTGGTGAGAGAAGCCCCAGGTTGAAGGCCTTGTATATAAAGCTCTAGTGTGATGGCTGCTGTGTGTAAAAAAGCTTCTGTGTAAGTTCAGTGTGAGGAGAGGCTCTGTGAGAGCGAAGCTTTTTGTCTGCATGAGGAAAAAAGCCCAGCGTGGAAGCAAAGAAGGAAGTATAAAGAACTTTATTTGTGTTATGGAAACCTTGTTCTTGTAAATAGTGCAATGATATTTTTGCTATAAAGAAAAGCCTCCTTTAGAAGAGATAACATTGGTCTGTGTGTTTTTGTTCTTTTGACCACTTTTGGCTACTGGTTCCTGGTCATGCTGCTGCTAATAAGTTACTCTGCTATGCATTTATGAGGAGGGTCTTTTGTTAATAAGCCCACTTGCCCAACACAACTTGCCCAAATTCAGAGCAGAAATAAACCTTCTGGAATAGGCCAACTGTTTGGGTAGCTTAGCCCTTTGGCCACGTTATGCTACTAAAGTCATGCCTTTTGACATTCAACTCAAGAGAAGGAGATGACTCCTTACACGGGTGTATACTTGCAAAAAGGAGGGAATCACCTGTATCACTGCTTCTTAAACCGGATCCCGACCCCAAATTACGCCCTTTTCATTCAGTGTTAGAGTCCCGAAAAATTGGGACAGCATAAGCTTTCTGAATGCCACTTATTTCAGGCATTTATACAAATCTATTGTGTAGCGTTGACAGCGGACTCTGCAGAAGATGCTTCAGTTGTACTTCATAAAGAGGCAGATCAGTCTTTTTAAGCAAACCTTGCAAATGCTGATTTGCCATAAGTAAATGTTCAATTTTAGTACTTATTTCATATTCCTATATACTCTGCGTCACATAAAAATTTATCAGAGTTGCTTACTACAACTACTACTACTAATTTATTATTATTATTATTATTATTATTATTATAGGACAATGCTTTTACACTTGCAACTGCTTACTACTACTACTACTACTACTAATAATAATAATAATTTAGGGAGAATGCTTTTACACTTGCAATTACTTACTACTCCTACTAATAATAATAATTCAAGGAGGATGTTTTTACACTTGCAATTGCTTACTACTACTACTTTTTTTTGTCGTGTCAGGAGCGACTTGAGAAACTGCAAGTCGCTTCTGTTGTGAGAGAATTGCAAGGACGTTGCCCAGGGGACGCCTGGATGATTTGATGTACTGCTAATAATAATAATAATAATTCAGGGAGAATGCTTTTACACTTGCAATTGCTTACTACTAATAATAATAATAATTCAAGGAGAATGCTTTTACACTTGCAACTGCTTACTACTACTACTAATAATAATGATAATTCAATGAGAATGCTTTTGCGCTTATAATTACTTACTACTCCTACTCCTAATAATAATAATTCAAGGAGAATGCTTTTACACTTATAATTGCTTACTACTCCTACTCCTAATAATAATAATAATAATACATGGAGAATGCTTTTACACTTGCAACTGCTTACTACTACTACTACTACTAATAATAATAATAATAATTCAGTGAGAATGCTTTTACACTTGCAATTGCTTACTACTCCTACTCCTAATAATAATAATTCAAGGAGAATGCTTTTACACTTGCTTTTACACTTGCAATTGCTTACTACTACTCTTACTCTTACTAATACTAATACAAGGAGAATGCTTTTACACTTGCAATTGCTTGCTGCTGCTGCTGCTGCTAATAATAATAATAATAATTCAAGGAGAATGCTTTTACGCTTGCAATTGCTTACTACTTCTACTACTACTAATAATAATAATAATTCAAGGAAAATGCTTTTACACTTGCAATTGCTTACTACTTCTACTGATAATAATAATTCGGGGAGAATGCTTTTACACTTGCAATTGCTTAATAATAATAATAATAATTATTATTATTATTATTCAAGGAGAATGCTTTTACATTTGCAATTGCTTAATAATAATAATAATAATAATAATAATAATAATAAATCAAGGAGAATGCTTTTACACTTGCAATTACTTTTGTGTACGGCTTTCTTAAGATTTGGATTTATCTCAGCACCTACCAGGAGGATGTCTATTATGCATAGAGTTTGGGCCAGGAATGCATCTGATGTTTCCTAAGTATAATGCCTCAAAGGAGCTTTAGTATCATGGAAGATGTCTCTTCTGAAGACCCAGCCATTCCCATCCGTTGCCCCACTAACCTGTATAGAAACAAAAAAGAGAACCTCCCTATTGAAGACATTGATTTCTCTGACCCTAATCTCCAGGTAGCTAATTTTTTTTATTTTTTATTTTTGCTCTTAATCCTCTCATCTTTTCTGTACCTAAGCAAAAAAGAAAGAAAAGAAACACATTTAGTTTTATATGCATTTAATAGTTTACCAATTGGTACAATAAGATTTTTTGTTTTAATATGCAGAAAACATGGATAAATTTTGTTTTACACAGTCTGAGAGCAACAAATCTTACTGTAAAACACAGAGCAGTATTATATACATTCCTTTACTGATTTTCTTTTGAAACTTTTTTTTTTAAGTGTGTCAATATCTTCAGTTAACTCCTACAGTCTGGGGTGGGGGTGAGGAAAGAAACTTTCTCCAATGGCAACCGCTACGTCGATCTCATGGAAAATAATAATAATAGTAGTAGTAGTAATAATGAAGACACATTGGTCTTCATGTCAGTGTCAGGATCAAACGTCTCAAAACGTGGAAGATTTTGCTAATTCTCTTCAGAACAACCTTTGGGGAGATGGAAGGATATGCTTAGGAGGAGAAAGTGGTTACTTACAGGGACACAGTGGGAAGAGGATGGGAAACGGCCAGTCACGACTTGCCAATCCAGCTCAACCTCCCCCTAATTTTCTCTCCCAAACTGGTTTTGCCAATTTCATCATTTCGGCCACTAAGGGAGAGATTTTACATTAGCTAAGTACCCTGCGTATTAAAAAGGAACAGGGGGAAAAACAACAACATTGGACTCTGTATGGAATTAAGAGAATCATTCCTCTTCCTTCATTCAAAATCCTGTAAAGGCTGTACTCAACGCATCCGTCTCGGGATTATCAAGCCAGTTACTGTGTGCGAAACCCCAAATTTACCTAAATTTAGCTTCCATGGGCTGGATAATGGAGCAGGGGAGTGAGGCGTGGCGGGGAAAGGAGAGAAAGCTACATTAAGGGATGGTTTTACAGACAGATTGGACTTGCATTAAAAACATTAAAGAGGTAAATAGGAGACGCGGCCTCCGGGTACGAAGGGACCCGGAAGCGGATGGGGTCGGGGGCTCGGTGAAGCGATAGCCAAAGCTTTCAAAACATCACAGTGCTCCACAGCTCTTGACAACTTGCTAGCAACTAGTATTCTGTGTTTTTTTTCCTTAATTTTTTTTTAAAAAATTATTATTATTATTAGTGCTCTGGGCACATCATTGGTCACACCACACACAAAAGCAGGACGGCTTTTCGACAAAAAAAAGAAAGGAAAAGAAATTACGGTAAAGTGCAAGACGTTCTGAGACATCGGATTTCGGATTGTGTCGAAATTGCACACAAAGAAAAAAACTGATTGGGGGGATAAAGAGAGAAAGGATGTGTCTAAAATTTTTCCCTCCGTTCATGCAATTCTGGAATGTGAGATAAAGAGAGGAAGAGTATTATTCTGCGACATCGTTTGAAAGAGAACCGACTTTGGTGATGCGATGACCCTGCCGCCAAACGCTCCTAAGTGCCGGCCGACTCAAAATCCTTCTACTTTCCAAACCTCAACGCGCTTCGCAGAAAAAAGAAAAAAGGCACAGGAAAAGACAGCCGGAGATAAAACGACAACAAAAAGGAGGGACCCAAAACGAAATTGTGCCGCCACCAGGCCCTCCGTCCCTTTCCGCTCTTTCTATCATCTCCAAATAGGGCTCTATCTGCGGATGCAATCCACCACTTTCCCTGAGACTTTGCTGTCAAATTAATTCGGGTCTTACACAAGTTTCAAGTCATTCACAGAAAGGAGGGTGGCTTCCCCTATTGCAAACCGATTACAGACTGGAAAAGTTTGAAAAAAAGGAGGAAAACAGTGGTCAAATTCCCATGTCAGTAAGGTACCTTGCAACAGAATAACCGACTGGCTCTATCTTGGTTCGCAAACACAGTTACAACGGATTCGGAAATTCTCAAAAGACAAAAGCATTTTCTTTTGCAAGAAAAGCTTAAAAACGAAGATAAGTGTTGATTTGTGGTTTCTTTTAATATTGAGGAACATTGCAGAATTTAGGTCAAACAAACCTGACTCCCTACTTCTAAATTTACCGTCCTTTGCACAAGAAATGGAGACAAAAACGTTCTTCTACATGGGCAAACCAAAGTCTGTTTTCTTTCTCTTGAAACTCTCCAAATAAGGTGCCCCCTCCTCTATGTTTCTTCTTTTCAAAAAGCGGGAGTCATTAAAAAATTACAGAGCTCATAAAGTGTGTTTTGTTAAAATAAGTCAGACCGTTAGCTCTATATTCCAAAATCTGCTCAAGACCCAATATTCAGAGACACCCGTACCGTGCCACCTGACTGTTCTCTGCTTTCACTCACTGGGAAGAACTGGCTCGTCCAAATATTATCCCCCTTTTATGACACACTCACACTGACAAAAAGGGGGCTGGAGAGAGAGCCACCTTTCGAAGTGCCCACTCCACAAACTGATGTGCCAACTCAACAAACCGAAGCCGTCAGGGAAAGTGCCAAACCGTCAGGGAGTCAACTGGGAGAGATGAAATCCAACTTGCCCCGGTGAGAATTAACTGTACGCAAGACTCACCGCCTCCTCGTGGGAAGCATTAGAACCCAACAGAACACCAAAGACCAAATTTTAAATAATAATAATAATAATTACACATCACATCATATCAAGCTTTCTCTTCCGACTAGGGTACGAGTATGAACATTTGTCTCCTTCTGTTATTTCAACCTGATAGGAAGCCAAAATAGTAGTAATAATAATAATAAAAAAGAGATCCTATTGATTTGGCAAATGTCCCACTAGAGGCGGAAAAGAAAAACCGGACATTTCTAATTTCTCTCCGTTCATTATGTAAGATTCTAAGTTGCAGCCTTGATGATCTAGCATCCGTAGGTTTCATAAGCACACTTAAGTGATGTTACAGAGATAACGTGTTTCTGAAGGAGCCCCCGCCTGCCCCCCAAAACACCCCGCACAAGAGCCGCCCGCACAAAGAGGAGAAACGGGTGCCCAATCGATCCAGCACAGAACGGCTTTGCTGCCTTTCCAGTTTAAGTGCCCCCAAAGACGACCAACCAGCGTTTCTGCCTTGTCAGGTCTGATGTGACCAATGCCAGCCCATGTTCTTATTAAACCTATGGTACTTCTAGACAACGTATGTAAATTTACAGTATACAATTTGGATTCACCATGCATGAATACTTTGTGTGTAACATTTAATAAGCTCAATCTACATCCAGAATAATTTACATGAAAGGACAATATTTATTTTAAACAGAGCTCAATGGGTAATCATGGTATCCGAGTGCATCCAGAGAGGGAGGGAAAGGGGGAAGTGGGTCGTCGGATGTGGACTCAATCAACGGCACTCCCACACTTTTACTGTTTGATCTACGCTGCCAGTGACCACATAGGGGGCTGTCTTGTGGAAATCTGAAAGAAAGGGGAAAAGATAAGTTAATGAGAGACAAATAATGAGGCTATAGTAGCCAAATAGCAGGACCGGGTGACAATCGAGGAGCTGCTAGAATTAGAGGTTGCTTACCCAGAGTGGTCACATGTGAATTCGCACATTTGGTAATTTCTGCACAGGCACAGGAATTACCAAATGTGCGATTCACAGGGACCATGATGGGGAATTAAATATTATAGTTGTCCAACCATCCTTTCAACATTCATGGGGAATGAAATGTTTTCTCTAGGTTCTCCAGGTCAACATCCACTAGAGCTGTGGTTCTCAACCTGTGGGTCCCCACATGTTTTGGCCTTCAACTCCCAGAAATCCTAACAACTGGTAGACTGGCTGGGATTTCTGGGAGTTGTAAGCCAAAACACCTGGGGACCCACAGATTGAGAACCACTACTCTACAGATTCATCATAAGCAGCACACTGCAAGACCAAAAGAATCTCTACGTTTTCCAGTGCAATTCTATGGTCAACATCTGGCTACTACAACTCCCAAATGACAAAATCAATTTTTTTGAGTGAAGGACATACATTGGGTTGTTAGGTGTCTTGTGTCCAAATTTGGTGTCAATTCGTCCAGTGGTTTTTGAGTTCTGTTAATCCCACAAACGAACATTACATTTTTATTTATATAGATTCAAAAGCATTTAACCTATGGATGCCTCAATTAATGTAATTGTATTGGTATCTATTTTTATTTTGACCAGTAGCTGCTGCATTTCCCACCCTCAGCTTATACTAGAGTCAATACGTTTTCCCAGTTTTTTTGTGGTAAAATTAGTGTTTTTGCTTATATTTGGGTCGGCTTATACTCAAGTATATATGGTATGTAAACATGGCTCTCATGTCTCCTCTCAACCTTCTTTTCTGCAGGCTAAACAGACCCAGTTCTTTAAGCCACTCCACAAAGAGTCGCACTGGAGGACCTAAGGCAAACATTTCAATTTAGTCATTCTCAGCCTGACACTGTCCGATTCTACTGTTTGCCAACAAATAATGTAGTATTGGAAGATGATACGACTTTTCATTGAAACCAACAGCCTGCCAGAAAACCTGACAGTTGTAAACACGAGTTCAGAGTTGGCTGTAGGACCAACCTTGCGCTGAAGGTACTGGTGGGCTCCACTGCTTTTTGTTGGAAGTGCCCTTAACACGCATACGTACCCAACGAGGTAACAAAGTGTTCGTGCGCATTGAGAGTCTTCATGCATCTCTTGTTCTTGTAGTCCCAGACACGCAAGGTCTTGTCATCGGCACAGCTCAAAATAAATTTCCCTCCAGAATGGAAGAGGACGCCACGTACCCAGTTATCATGGCCCACCTTTGGGAATGGAGGGTAAGGAGGAGAGATAAATGCACTTAAGGTCAGGTAAGCAAGTCTTGAGGGAACACAATGCAAATCAAATCCCAATGCTGAGGTTGGTTTTCTCCTTACCCCTAAAAAAGGAATCATGGAATGTTTGTGAAGAGATACGGTACTCTGTTCTATTGCAAAAACTTCCTTGCAACCGTTCTAATTTTATTTATGGTGATTGATCTAATTTTATTTATGGTGATTGCACCACCTGACATCTGCCAGGAAGTAGCAGCCAATAGTGAAAGGACCAAGGCAGAGACATCTCCAGCTCATCCCCTGTTTGGGTATCAGCCAGCACGTCAACAACTTAAATCAAGACATAGTTTTCTTAGATCTACAGAGACACTCGCTGGAACACCTCAGCAAGCGAGAGTCCAAAAGTGGCAGGCCCAACCCCAGCACCTCAATCCATGGGTGATACCAGATGAGAGACTCCCCCCTGGGCACACAGAAGACTGGGCGACTTGGAAGGCGCTGAACAGACTGCGCTCTGGCACCACGAGATGCAGAGCCAATCTTAAGAAATGGGGCTACAAGTGGAATCCATGACATACGAGTGTGGAGAAGAGCAAACCACTGACCACCTGCTGCAATGCAACCTGAGCCCTGCCACATGCACAATGGAGGACCTTCTTGCGGCAACACCAGAGGCACTCCAAGTGGCCAGATACTGGTCAAATGACATTTAATCAACTACCAAGTTTGCAAAATCTGTGTTTTTTTTTTAATCTCTGTGTTTGTTTTGCTCTGTTAGAAATGTAATACAATGGTATGGTTGCTGATGACACGATAAATAAATAAATCTATCCCAGGGGTTCTCAAACTTTTTAAATAGGAGGCCAGTTCACTGTCCCTCAGGCTATTGGTCGGACTATAGTTTTTTAAAAAACTGTGATCAAATTCCTATGCACACTGTAGATATCTTATTTTGAAGCAAAAAAACAAAACAGGAACAAATACAATATTTAAAATGAAGAACAAGGAAAGCTAAATCAACAAACCTACCAGTATTTCAATGGGAACGATGGGCCTGCTTTTGGCTAATGCAGTGTTTCTGGGGGTTGGGACCCTTGCGGGGGTCGCAAGGTGGTGTCAAAGCGGTTGCCAAAGACCATCAGGAAAAACAGTATTTTCTGTTGGTCATGAGGGTTCTGTGTGTCAAGTTTGGCCCAATTCTATCATTGGTGGGGTTCAGAATGCTCTTTGATTGTAGGTGAACTATAAATCCCAACAACTACAACTCCCAAATGACAAAATCAACCCCCCTCAACCCCATTTGGGTGTATTTGGTATTTGTGCCAAATTTGGTCCAGTGAATGAAAATACATCCTGCATTTCAGATATTTACATTACGATTCATAACAGTAGCAAAATAACAGTTACGGAGTACCAACAAAAATAATGTTATGGTTGGAGGTCACCACAACATGAGGAACTGCATTAAGGGGTCGCAGCATTAGGAAGGTTGAGAACCACTGGGCTAATGAGATGGTCAATGCCTGGTTCTATATTTGCCACTGCTAGTCATAACAAGTGATGCAAGTGTGCATCGGTTAGTCTAGATCTGGTTGGAGATTTCAGATGTTTCATTCTGGAAAAGTCTGTTCACAGACATAAGTGCTGCCAAAGATGGTTGCCATTTTGAGTGCATGGTTCCTGAGATTAGGATATGTCTCAGAAGGGAGAGATGCATAGAAATTAGGAAGCCTGTTTCACTTGAATGCGTCTTTCAGAGAGTCACAATTCTCGAGTTCAGCCAATTCCATTTGGTAAATTGTATCCACATTTTCTATGTCAATAGAAAATGGGTTATGGAAAAGCTGTATGTCCTGTTCATGTAGATCAGTAGTTCTCAACCTGGGGTCCCCAGATGTTTTTGGCCTACAACTCCCAGAAGTCCCATCCAGTTTACCAGCTGTTAGGATTTCTGGGAGTTGAAGGCCAAAAACATCTGGGGATCCCAGGTTGAGAACCACTGATGTAGATGAAGCTCTTTAAATCTAAATTGGAATTCCTTTTGCAACTTTTCCTTTTGCAACTTTTCCACACTTTTTTTAGGAATGTAACCAATGGTTTTTCCGCTAACAGAGTTTGAGTTCTGGGGGGATAGCAGAAATTTTCCTCCTTCACTTGTTTGATGAGGTCCAGCGCATCTTGGGGAGGTGGAGGATTCACCCTTTTCCACATCCAGCGGGCTGGATAAATGTCCTTGATGAGCTACATGTGGCCCGCGGGCCATAGTTTGAGGACCCCCGATCTATCCAAACAAATCAGTAACTAATAGAGGAGGGCGTAGTTTTTGTTCCATTTGATTAATTCGGGTATTTGTTACGTACCATCCATTCAGGTGGCACGAAACAAAACAGCCATTTTCGGATGAAACAAAAAGCAAAACAAAAGAGGAAGTCGCACAGTTTCTTTGTTTGGTTTTCGGGCTGCATGTCTTTCCTCTACATGTGTCAGGGAAGGAGGTGTTTGGGCCAATCAAAGACCAAGAAAACAGTGATGTCACCAGGCTATAGGTCCTCTCTGAAGATCCAGAGGAAAACATCTCAGAATCAGTGGTATCTTAAGCCCTGCCTTTATTTATTATTATTTATTTACAGTATTTCTATACCGCTTTTCTCACCCCTAGGGGAACTCAAAGCGGTTTACACATAACTAGCAAAACTTCAATGCCATACATTGGACACTGATGCAATGCCAATCCATAACAACCACAATAATAAAACCACAATTAAACATAAATCATAATTAGACAGTACATAAGCAATCATTAAAACAATAAATAATAAAAACAGTCTCGCCAGTCGTATTTAACCTCAGGGCTCCTYTGTAGATCCAGAGGAAGGGAAAGGAGATTTTATTCACAGAAAAAAAATCCCTTAAAATTGAGGGATGACCCAAAATTTAGAMAACCTGGTGGACTTAGAATGCTCAATGTGCCCTCCATGTGTGGTGATTTTCACCCCTCCAGTCCTAAAACTGAGGGGAAGGGGAGCCTGGGAAGGCAGTCCATGCTGACCAGTGGTCCGAAAATTTTTGTTCATTCAGGCAAAATAACAAAAAATAACAAAATAATAATAATAATTCGGAAAGGCCCCATTTTAAGAAATAGGGCTCAAAAACTAAAACAGGGCCAAACAAATGGAACAAACCCAAACGGATAGCGATTCTATAAAAATGCACAAGGTTAGTAATGAATCCAGACGTTCCCCTCTATGGAACAAGGAAAAGAAACACAGGGAACGTACCAGAGTCATAAGGCACATGCCAGTACTAATGTCCCACATCTTGATGGTCTTGTCTCTAGATCCAGAAAGCAGGAAAGGCCCAGGCTTACCACTCTTCTTAGTCTACACAGGAAAGACAAAAATAAAAACACCAATTTTACAAATGGATAGTTGATATGGAAGAAGATCGTGCTCACCTTTAGAGAACACAAGTCCAAACACTAAAATAAATCAAAGACAAAATCACTCTGAAAATGAACAATACCAAGATTTAGTAAAGGTAAAGGTTTTCCCCTGACATTAAGTCCAGTCGTGTCCAACTCTAGGGTGGTGCTCATCTCCATTTCTAAGCCGAAGAGCCGGCATTATCTGTAGACACCTCCAAGGTCATGAATGCATGGAATGCCCTTACCTTCCTGCCGGAGAGGTACCTATTGATCTACTCACATTTGCATGCTTTCGAACTGCTAGGTTGGCAGAAGCTGGGGCTGACAGCGGAAGCTCACGCTGCTCCCTGGATTCGAACCTGCGACCTTTCAGTCAACAAGCTCAGTAGCTCAGCGCTTTAACCCACTGCGCCATCGGGGGCTCAATTTAGTATTATGTAAAATAAATTTAATATAATACTAATTTCGTATTATTTAGTATTACGTTAAATAAATGCATGAGAGACAACATGCTCTACACCAGGCATGGGCAAAATTTCTAACTTGGGGGCCACATGGCGGGCCAGAGCGGGGTGGGCAGGACGGGAGAAAAGGGTTCTCCCAAAGCTCCCTCCTTGCCCTTTTCTCCCCTTCCTCTTCTCTTTCGGAAGCAGAAATTGGGGAACATTTGGATCCCATAAGGGTTGGCCTTGGTCAGGATGAGATGGTGGATAGGAGAAGAAAAGTGTATCCATGAGACGCCATATTGCCTACTCCTGATCTAGCATCCTAGAGTTGGAAGAGACCCCCCAAGGGCCATCCAGCCCATCCCCTGCCACTTAGGAAGGCACAATCAAAGCACTCCCAATAGACAAGCCTCTGTGGAAAAGCCTCCACAGAAGGAGAGTCCACCACACTCACAGGTAGCCTATGCTACTCTCCAACAGCTCTCACTCTCAGGAAGTTCTTCCTAATCTTTTCAGTTGGATCTCTCTCCCTGGCATTTGAAACCATTGCTCCCTTATGCCCTGGTCTCTAGAGCAGCAGAAAGCCAGTTTCCACCCTCTTCCTCCTCCATCATGGGACACCCTTTGAAGTCTGGAAACATGGTTCTCGTGTTCCCTCTCTACTTTCTCTTCTCCCAGAGAAACATCCCCCAGGAGGGTGTTTCCAGAGGAAGGAAAAAGAGACAGGAGGGAGGGAGGAAGAGAAGGATGGAAGCAAAGAGGGGAGGGTGGAAGGGAATGGAGGAAGGAGGGAGGAAAGAGAGAAGAAAGGAAAGACAAAAAGGAAGGCAGGAAGGAAGGAGAAAGAGAGAGAGAGGGAAGGAGGGAGGGAAGAAAATAGGAAGGAAGGAAGGAAGGAAGGAAGGAAGGAAGGAAGGAAGGAAGGAAGGAAGGAAGGAAGGAAGGAAGGAAGGATGAAAAGGTGGAAGGGAAGGAAGGAGGGAGGCTGAAAGAGGGAAGAAAGGGAATTTATTTATTTATTTACTATATTTATATACCGCTTTTCTCAGCCCACGGGTGACTCAAAGACATTTACAGCAGCAAAATTCAATGCTCAAAACATCATAAAACATTTAAAACAATTAAAAACAATGGCATAAATTTACGATCATTACAGAGTCAATAAAACATAACTCATTAGCGTCTGAGTTGAAAACAAGATCCAATCTCACCACCCAATCATTCTGTATTCCTATGTTTGTTACAATGCCTTTTCAAGCACCTGCTCAAACAACTATTATTATTTTTACAGTATTTCTACACCGCTTTTCTCACCCTGAAAGGGACTCAAAACTAGGTCTTAACTTTCCTCCGGAATGCTAACAAAGAAGGGGGCGATCTAATGTCTCTAGGAAAGGTGTTCCATAGCTGAGGGGCCACCACTGAGAAGGCCCTGTCTCTCGTCCCTGCCCAACGTATTTGGCCATCACGTATTTGTGACGCAGACGGGATCAAGAGCAGGGCCTCCCGAGACGAGAGAGAAGGAAGAAAAGACAAAAGGGAGGGAAGGAGAGAGGGAAAGAAAGAAGGAGAAAGAGAGGGAAGGAGGGAGGAAAGAGGGGAGGAAGGACGAAAGGATGGAAGGAAGGGAACGAAGAAGGAAAGAGAGAAGGATAGGATGGTGAGAGAGAGGAGGGCGTGAGAAAAGAGCCCAAAGGGCCACATCCTGCCCCCGGGCCTGGGCTTACCCATACCTGCTCTAGTGTGTTGCAGATTAAACTGTGACTCTGGAAGACAGGGTTCAAATTCCTGCTCAGCACTGGGCAAGTTACACTCACTCAGTCTCAGAGGGAGGCAAAAGCAACTCCTGACAAATCCTGCCAAGAAAACCCTGTAAACAGTTCTAGCTTCAAAGTCTCAAGAGTAAACAACAATAAGAAGTAACAGAAAATACCCCCCCCCCAAAAAAAAGCACAGCTTCAGCACTCCTCAATGCATTGTAGTTGGGCAAAGGAGCCCCCGGTGGCACAGGGGGTTAAATCCCTGTGCCGGCAGGACTGAAGACAGACAGGTCGCAGGTTCGAATCTGGGGAGAGGCAGATGAGCTTCCTCTACCAGCTCCAGCTCCTCATGCGGGGACATGAGAGAAGCCTCCCACAAGGGCGATAAAACATCAAATCATCCCGGGCATCCCCTGGGCAACGTCCTTGCAGACAGCCAATTCTCTCACACCAGAAGCGACTTGCAGTTTCTCAAGTCACTCCTGACACACAATAAATAAATAAATAAAATAAACAGTATTTTAAAATAATTTTTGTGCACAAAACTCATGTTTGTATTTACTGAACCACCAGAAAGCAAATGTGCCAGTATCTCAGCCGCCCATCTGAACAATTTCAGAGAATTTCAGATTTCTGGATGAAGGTTATTTAAAGCCAGAAATGAAAGGAGAAGCCTCTGCATTTGCTTGTGTGTCTTGTATTGAATGTTTGTCGGTATCTGTTTACACTATAATCTGAGTCCCCACGGGGAGAAGAGCAGAAAATAGATAACGTATTGTTGTTGTTATTATACTATTTGTTTTTTAAATAAAAAACACAACGGAATGGAGCAATGGCACATGGCTCTCACTGAATTTACTCTCCAGCTCTTCAATGCTGGTGTCCCACTGTCGTTCACGCCTCTTCCTTTTAAATATATGCCACCCACATTCCACCTCAAGAGAAGCAGCCCATTTCAGATCCCATGTCTTCCCACTACTGGGAGTTGGCAGTCTAGAAAACATGAGACAAGAAGAGGCTGGGGAAAGTAGCCTGAGGTGCCTCATCATATGATCCGCTCTTCTTAGAATCCCAGGAACAAAAACACCGACCCTGAGGCATGCAGAGATACACAGATTGTAAACACGGTTTATAAAGAGAGGGGAAAATGCACATTCTCTCCCCTTTGCCCAGGGCACAAGCCAGGTTGAAAAATGGCTCAAACTTCACCAGCCACTTGGCTCTTGTGACTTTGAGCCCAGCGTCAAGTCGGCAAAGGGCAAGGGAGAGGACACTGCTGCAGAGGAAGAGTCAGCTGAGAAAAAGTGACCTCAAGCACACCCTTAGAAGTCAAACTTCCTGGTTGCACCGAGTGCAAAATGATACTCTACCACAATGCTGAGAAACAAGGCTACAAATAATAATAATACATTATTTATATTCCACCCTATCTCCCCAGAGGGATTCAGGGCAGATTCCAAACACAAAAGGGAAACATCGAATGCCCAAACACAACAACAATACATGGAATTTGGCAACCCACTTTCATTGAGGGACACAGCCTGCCATAAATATCGGCAATCCACAGCCAGCCAGTGGTCAATATATTCCTGCATTTCTCTCTTTCCATACTTTCTCATTTACAATATGTCATTGTACCCCAACACACACACATACACAAACTGCACCTCAGTCACTCTCAAAGTCAGATGAATGAAAAGGGCTGCTTCAGAAAGCCTTCTGGAAATGTCACATGATGCAACTGCCAAGGTAGCTGGGCCATGTTATTTTGTGGATGTCATCTACAACACTTGGACAAGGTCACTTTCCATCTCATCTTCCTTCCATGCTAGCTGGCCCATTCCCCGTGGCATTCAAAGCCTTGAAGTAGGCACAAGTGGGCCGGGAATGGAGCCTTCTCAAGAGTGGCTCTTGGGCGGTGAAAATCCCACTCGGAGGCATCCACAAGACCTGCTCTTGATTCAATGAAATGTCAAAACTCATCTGAATGGCCTTCTAGGAGGAAAAGAGAACTCTAGAATGGTTTATGGTCTACTGGTGGAGACAGAGAAAGTGCTAAGGGGGCTTCCAAAACAAATGAGTGCTAAAGTCTTCAAGAAGACTCCTAAGAGAACTACACAGCCACCACTTCAACCTACAATGTAGACTACGTCAACTGCTTTTTCACCAAGGGTATCAACCTTATGGTGGCTTTCAAAGGAGTGTTGAATCTGTCAGAAATATTAAAAATTAACTAGTATTTTTAATTACAAAAAGGGTTAAATATATGCAATGACTCAGCAAAAGCTGTAGTTCAATATAAGCAGGCGTGCCTGCAGGTTATTTATTTATTTACTATATTTGTATACCACCTTTTTCAGCCTGTGAGTGACTCAAGGCGGTTTACAGAGGAAAGATTCAATGCCTCAGTGAGAGGTCTCTATGGGAGAAGGTCCTCAGTGTGTTAGTAGGTCTCAGTACGAGAAGGTCTCAGTGTGAGAGCCCTTAGTGTGAAAAGGCCTCAGTGAGAGAAAGGCCTCAGTGTGAGGTAGACCTCAGTGTTAGTAGGCCCCTGGTGTGAGAAGCTTGTTACTGTAAGTGGTAGCAGGACCAAGTGTGTCTATGTGTGTTGAAGAAAAACCTTATGATGTTAATTATTATGTGCAGCTGGTAATGTAGGTCAACCAGCAATTTTGGACCACACCCAACAGGGCATAACTGTATGGGTTTTTAGAATACAGTTGTGGAGAGCTTTTTCTCTGAGATCTATGCTCAAAGGCTCTGCTCTGAGGAGCAGGTTGAAGCCATTATGCAGCTCTAAAGGAGGCTATGGTGTAACAGCTGTTTGCTCAAGGTTTACATTTTGCTTTCTCATTGGACTTAAGATGAAGATGCTTTATTTTGTGTAACTTACAAAGACTATGTACGTTTCTTGCACTGTTTGTTTTTTGTATGCAACATTGCAAGTTTGTATTTTATCTCTGCTATCAAGAGTAAAGGTTTTTCTGTTCATTTCTACGCTTGTCTGTGAGTCTTGTGCATGGGACGTGGCTAAGATCCACTTGGTGAGAAGAAGCCCAAGGTTGAGGGCCATTGAGGGTGAAGCTGAAGTGTGAAGGCTGCCGAGTGTAAAGCTACTGTGTGAAGCTCCTGTGTAAATTCAGTGTAAGAAGTGGCTTTGTGAGAGCGAAAATGTTTATCTGCATGAGAAAGAAGCCCAGCGTGGAAGCAAAGAAGAAAGTATAAATAACTTTGTGATATGGAAATCTTGTTCTTGTAAATAGTACAACCATATCATTTTGAATTTTTAAAAAGTCTCCTATGGAAGAGATAATATTGCTCTGTGTGTTTTTGTTCTTTTTATCACTTTTGGCAACTGGTGCTGGGTCACGCTGCTGCTAATAAGTTACTCTGCTGTGCATTTATGGAGAGAGGGTCTTTTGTTAATAAGCCCATTCGCTCAACAGAATCCATGGAGGCAGAATCCATGGGTACAAAAGGGGCTGACTATAATTACAGAGAGTGCTCGGTGCTTTTTACCCAATTTGGGTCAGCAGATAGTATTGGAGAACAACTCCCATCACTTATGGTTGTTCATTCACCATGTGGGCTGGGCTAATAAGAATTGCAATCCAACCATAGCTGTGGCTCTGAGGTTGGAGAAAGGTAAAAGGACATCAGACACCATATCCACAAGCCTTGTATTTACAGTCAAACGCCACTCTCCTGACTCAACAGAACCAACCGCAGCCTTCCAAATGTTACTGTATCCTAAATCCCCATCAGCTCTAGCCATTATGTCTAGTGATGAGGAACGTAGACGTTGTAGTTTAGCATCCGGAAGGTTGCATAAATTGATGGCACAGGCCTTGAGTTTGACATAAACAAAAAAACAAACAAACAAATTCTGGTGGATAAGTATTTATATCTGAGTAGCCAACAATCAATCCCCTTCAAGTTGCAATGCAAACAAGGATACCATTATCAATGAAGATAGCAGAAGAGAACATTATCAATCAGGTCACTTGCCTCCGATCCCGTAGCTTCCGATATGGTGGCATAGGAGCTCTCCGGCGCCCAGGAGATGCACTCGACCACATGCTCATGTTCCCGAAGCTCGGCTTTGCATTCCTTGGTTGCTACCACCCAGACGCGCACTGTCTGGTCGTTGGAACAGCTGGCAATCAGCGTGCCGTCCTGGTTGGGCCGGACCATGCGGACCCATTCTCTATGCCCCGTGAATGTCTTCACACAGTAGCTGTGGAAGGGCACAAAACCGGATGGGTTTGCACAGGCAAGAACCAAACTGAACTACATCACAATTTCATTTGAGATTTGAAACAGGTTTTTTTCACAACTTAAATAAAAAATCAAAACAAGCACTCTCTACGCAAGGAAACTTTAGGCATCTGGGTATTTGTTGTCTACCTCTATGGAAGTGGAACTAAACTAAACTGCCCTATTTTTGCAGAACACCAATCCCCACAAAGAACAAGTATAGGCCATCCCCATTGAGGTGAGCCTAGAATAGTGGTTCCCAAACTGGTCCGTGGAGCACCAGTGGTCCGCAAGGACTAAAATATGACTCGCGGCCTCACCGTTACTACATAGTTGCAACAAGAGTGACTGGTCTCGCAAAACCCACTGGCTGCCTGTTTGCTACCGGCACAATTCAAAGTGCTGGCTTTGGCCTATAAACCCCTAAATGGCCCCAGCCCAGTTTACCTGTCTGAATGCATCTCCCTCTATGAACCACTGCAGAAACTAAGATCTTCTGGGGAGGGCCTGCTCTCGGTCCCGCCACCATCACAGGCGCGTTTGGCAGGGACGAGAGACAGGGCCTTCTCAGTGATTGCCCCCCGGTTCTGGAACTCAGTTCCTGGCAATATTAGATCAGCCCCCTCCTTCCTGTCCTTCAGAAGGATGGTGAAGACCTGGCTGTGGGACCAAGCCTTTGGGGCAGTGCAATGAGGCAAAATGGTGTCCTGAGATGGTTTTAAAGCAACTTTTAATGTGAATATAAGTGATTTTAATGTTTGTATATATTTATGGTTTTATGTCCCAGCACTGAATGTTTTCCGTATATATGTTGTGCTCCGCCCTGAGTCTCCTGTGGGGTGAGAAGGGAGGAATATAAATGTTTTAAATTAAAAAATAGTGCCACGGCTTATTAAATATGATTTTCTGTGGGAGACTACTGGATGACGTATGTTATGTTTCAGAAATTAGAGCTGATGTGGTCTATCCAATGAAGCTTTCTTAATCAGCACCCCAAACAACCAAACCCAATCTAAAATTGACCAAAAACTGATTGGTACTAATGTTGGAGAGTGGTCCCTGGTCAAAAAAAGGTTTGGAACCACTGCTGTAAACAGATATGGTTTCTCTTCACACCCCCATGCCTTACCCTGTTTGAACTTCCCACATTTTGATGGTTTTATCCCTTGAGGCGGAGGCTATATGATCCCCATTGGGCATGATGGCTACAGAAGAAACATTATGGTCGTGACCTAAAAGGGAGAAGAAGAAAAAACCAGCTTCAGTTAAGCTGCATATTGGCACCGTTATGCCACAATCTGTGCGTGGATGCCAATACTGAAGCAAAAGTCCATTTTGCAATTCTAAATACTCCTCTAACTCACAAATTTAGAATAATAATAATAATAATATTTATGACCTACCTCACCTTGTGGCTCGAGGCAGGTAACAATATAGCTAAAAATGCCCCATCAGACACATTTTATATAATACACATATTAAAATGCAGTTATATGATATACATACACAAGCGTGGGTAAAAAATAATGCCTCCATCACTCTAACATTTATTTCTTTTCCAACTACTGGACTTTCTATGCATGATATGATAATACAGGTAACCGTACTCTACTGATACAGTCTTTTCTTTTTCCTATTGACTGATTAGAACCATGAATCTGAAGGTAACGAGAGTCGTCATTAAATTTCTGGCAAAAAGAAGGTTGTGCACCTAAGGATATTCATAATTGCTTGAAGAATGTTCATGATTTGGCCCCTTCTGGCTTTTACCTGTTTGGACCTCTGAAAGACAACCTACTTGGTTTCAGATTCAATGACTTGAAGGACATTAAAACAGCTTTAAAAATTATGTGCCATGAAGCCAAATCCTGAATTTTTCCAAAATTGTTGGGTTGAACAAGGGCGCAAACGTGTACAAATTGATAGTCACTTATGTTGAAGGATAGTTTTGTGTAGAGGGCAGTTCAGGCTATGATCTGGAGAAACTTCTGCTGTTCTAGGTTCATTCATAATGTTTTTATGACACAGGAGGCAAAACTTTTTGACCCACCCTCAAATTAAAATATACAGAACAAAGATTAAAATGCAGTAAACACAGGACAGGAGTTTAAAATTCACAGCTAAAACGTGACTAGGTAGGCCTGCCAGAAGAGATACGTATTCAGGTGTCTTTTAAATTCTGGCAGGTCATTCCACAGTCTTGGGGTGGCCAATGAAAAACGTCACTGTGCAAATTCTGGCAGGTCATTCCACAGTCACTGTGCGATCGGCTCATTTGGTACAGCTCTGTTAGACAAGGAAAGAAGTGTATTTCTCCCTGCCTGAAGCTGGTACTGCAACCCACCACATGGGCTTATGAAGGTTCCCCACATGGTGCACTATTGCAGGCACAGATAACACATTTGTGTGATTCAGAGATCCCAAAGGAGCCAAGTTTCTCTAGCACAGTTCAGTCAATATTTTCACTACTATTTTCTTTTCACTGTTGAATGATCAGCTCTCTTCCAATGATTATGAATGGCCAAATGCATTCCACAACCCCAGCAAGGAATATGAAAAAGACAGTTTTACAATTCAAAGGATCAGTGGAGGAAGAAATGATGCCCTCATTGGGAAATATCTGAGGTTCATAGACAGCTCGCAACAAGATGAAACAAAATATGTTTCCTGGTCGGACTGCCTGTGTCATCTCACTACCCTATTAACCCAAGGGATGGCAAGTACAAAACATACAGTGTGTAATTCACCAAGTCACCACAAAACCTAATATTTCATGCGGGATAGTCCAGAGCTGAAGTCCAGGAAGGTAGTACTACTGAAGTCTGAAAAATACATGAAAATACTAACATAGCTTATTGTAAACATGGTAAGGAAGTTTGTGTCTGGACCACATTACTTCCAGATTGAAGGTCTCAATTTCCATGATTTTTGTGTTCCTGCAACAATGCTATAGAGAGCTGAGTTCCAATAAGGCAATACTACTGAAGTCTGAAAAATACAGGCAAAATACTAACATAGCTCATTGTAAACATAGTAAAGAAGCTTGTGTCTGGGGCATAACACTTCCAGATTGAAGGTCTCAATTTCCATGTCCTTTGTGTTCCTGGCACAATTCTAGAAAGAAAGCTAGACTAGCAATCTACAAGCAGAAATGTCACTGAGCAGACAAACGTTGAACCATATGTACTCCAACCTGAAATGCCCCATTCCAGACCTACATAATGTCCTGGTTTCACATTCCCTTCTACACATTTTGCAGCTATTTTCTCTGATGACTGTTGTCTAAGTTCCTTCAGTTGCTCACCATGCATGGTTCTTATACACTCGAAGCCTTGGAAATCCCATAGTTTAATGGTCATATCCGCAGAGCAGGAGGCCAACAGCTTGCCACTGTGGTCGAAGGAAATATCCTGCACAGAGTCTGTGTGGCCCTTCAGAGTTCGTTCAAAATCCCCCGTCTCATAATCCCATACCTAAAAACAGACAACAAGGCAAAATATTATTCCCTCTTGACATTTGCATCATAGCTGGTGACCTTGCATCAATTCAAGAAAAGAGTCACACATTATCTAACTGGAAGAGAAAAGAATGAGCTATCCATGGCTATTTTATAATAAATGTAATATTACTAATAATATTACAGTATAATGTTATAGTACAATGTAATATATAATATTAATATTGTGCTATGGTAAAATATAATATATTGCATTTACTTTTTACTTGTAAGCCGCTGAGTCCCCTTTGGGGTGAGAAGGGCAGCATATAAATGTCGTAAATAAATTAATAAATTTTCAGACGAAGCATGCTTCATACATGTGCACGCACACAACCTTCCCTCTAAAACAATGGTGTCAAACTTGTGGCCCTCCATGGGTTTTGGACTTCAGCTCCCAAAATTCCTAGGACTTCTGGGAATTGGGGTCTGAAATATCTAGAGAACCACAAGTTTGACATCTCTGCTCTAAAAGAATAACAAGATCAGGTTTTTCCTTTTCCAGTGGAACAATAATGAAAAAGTGTGTTTTAGGACAACTTAAGATGGTCCCAAAGAATGTCACCTCCTTTATAGATAGTGCCAAAATGCAAACCAGGAAATAAACAAATAAGAACAGGCTCCAAAGAGCTACTAATACATGTCAGAAATATTAAATATTAATTAGGTATTTCTAATTACAAAAAATGTGAGTCAAGCACTGAAAGGGTTAAATTGATACAATTACTCAGTAAAAACTGCAATTCAATATAAGCAGGTGTGCTTGTAGCTTTGCAGCTCTCAGTCTGTGAGAGGTCTCTATGGAAGAAGGGCCTCAGTGTGTTAGTAGGCCTCAGTGTTAGTTTGCCTCCCTTACAAAAATTCTGCTCCTTTATCTCACCCTGAGTTTTTAAATCATTTTATGTACATGCAGCCCGCTCACTGTCATTATGTTTGGAGTACTGCATTTTTTCTTATGTTTTGTGTATATCGTTTATTGTATTTATATGTTTTGTATCTTACTGCGCTGTTGTTTATTTTATTGTAATTTGTATTTTATTGCATTGTAATTTGTTGTTTGGGCTTCGCCTCATGTAAGTGGCCCCAAATCCCCTCTGGGGGAGATGGTGGTGGGGTACAAACAAAGATTATTATTATTATTATTATTATTATTGACACAAAAGCACAGTACGTCACAGCAAACGAGATCTATATGCTGGATTTTGTATCACAAAATCACAAGTAGAACACTTCCCAAGCGTCTAGGACTGTGTGATGTATTTTCGAATGATGCACACAGATCCAAGTCAGGTGGCCTTTTGCAGTTGACAGATCATGATTTTGTCGATGTTTATTGTTTCCAAATGCTGGCTGAGATCTTTTGGCATGGCACCCAGTGCGCCAATGACCACTGGGATCACCTGTGCTAGTTTATGCCAGAGCCTTTGCAGTTCAATTTTGAGGTTTTGATAGCGGCTGAGTTTTTCCTGTTGTTTTTTCTCAATACGACTGTCATATCAATAATCCAGACTTTTTTCTTTTCCACAATCGTAATGTCTGATGTATTGTGTTTCAATTATTATTATGAGAGGCATCAGTCTGCGAAAGCTTTCAGTGTGAAGAAGCCTCAATGTGAGGTAGGCCTCAGTGTGAGAGGCATGGTGTAAGAAAGCTTTGGTGAGAGAAGGTTGAAGGCCTAGTGTGTAAAGCTGCAGTGTTAAGGCTACTGTGTGAAGCTCCTGTGTAAGTTTAGTGTGAGAAGAGACGCTATGAGAGCGAAGCTGTTTATCTGCATGAGAAAGAATCCCAGTGTGGAAACAAAGAAGGAAGTATAAATAACTTTATTTGTGTTATGGAAACCTTGTTCTTGTGAATAGTGCAACCATATTATTTTGCTATTTTAAAAAGCCTCCTAAGGAAGATACAACATTGGTCTGTGTGTTTTTGATCTTTTTATCACTTTTGGCTACTTGTGCTGGGTCATGCTACTGCTAATAAGTTACTCTGCCATACATTTATGAGGAGGGTCTTTTGTTAATAAGCCACTTGCCCAACAATACGTTTATCAACCCACAATGACTTCAGGAGGTGAATCATCATGCTGTGAACTAAACTGACATTTACAAACTCTGAAAAGATAATGGAAACTCCATTCTGACTGATTCCTAGCAAGCATTACTGTGCAATCTGTTTGATTTGGGACAAATCTGTTAGATAAGGAAGTTTATTTCTCTCTGCCTGAAAACTAGTGCTACTTGTGCATCTGCAACCCACCACAGATGGCTGGCCACAGTGGAGCTACAAGTTCCAAAAACACCAAAGGTAAAACTGGAGTAGAAAAGTTCACATCTCCCCTTAAGCCAAATGGAGAGAAGACGATATAGACACAGCTCCATCATTATTTATTTTATTTACAGTATTTATATACTGCCTTTTTCACCCCTGGGGGGATTCAATGTGAGGCATCAGTCTGAGAGAGCTTTCAGTGTGAGGAAGCCTCAATGTGAGAGGCTTCCTCACCCTGAAAGAGGCCTAGGGGCAACAGTAGAAGGCCTTTCCTCAATCCCAACTGCCACTCTCCTGGTCTCTGAAGAAAAGAAGCAACCACAGTCCCATCATGGCTAGATTTCGGAGCAGAAGAAAGACCCTCCTTTCACCCCAGCAAGCCAGAGGAAAGGCGGACATATACGAAGAAAAAAAAGAATCAAATCAAACAGCCTCCTACCTTTATTGTGGCATCCTCTGAAGCAGACACCATAACACTGAAAACTGGATGGAAAATTACTCTTGTGACAGGACTCCGGTGTCCGCTCAAGGCATACTTTTCGGGAGGACGAGGGATCCACTCTTTCGGGTCTCGCTTCTGACCAAGAGGCCCGCCTGATGTAAATTCTTCCTTTGCTTCGTTGAGTTTTGATTCTAATTCCATAACCTACATTTGAAGGGGAAGCGAAGAGAGAAGCAGAAAGACAAACAAAGGTGTCATAAGGCGTTTACGACAGCATCCTGCAAAACGAGAATTGAGGTAATTACAAAGTCAATTCGTTCTATCCTCTGAACCGATGGCCACAGCTCGCCAATGAGTATCTCGACAAATGAAGAGGAATGGAAAGAAATCCAGGCTCTGCGACCAGACACCTGACTCCATTTTTTGAGAATAATCTAATCTCTTACCCTTTATAAAATAATCCAGTTACAAAATAGTCAGAGTGTTTTCTTTTAATTGCACATGGAATGATCCAAAGAGTCAATGTAAGATACTACTTTAAACAACACTGCAGTTGTTTCATCACCAGGACCTCCTCCCATTTCTGGCTTCAACTTACCTTCTTCTGTAATCTTATAACCGATGTCCATTTTTTTTCCAAGAGTCCCGCATACTTTTTATCTAACTCTTCATTCTAAAGCAAAAAGAAGATCAAGGAAACCATCACATACTTATACTATTTAATACAGCCCCCCCCCCAAAAAAAAATTAGGAGAATAATCATGCACAGGAAAAGCTTTTGGATGCTATCTTCTCCTTTTTTTATCAGTGTATAAGCTGAGTTTTTCAGCCCTTTTTAAGGCTGATAAAGCCCTCCTTGGATTACACTTTAGTCAAGGCTACTCTGTTATTATTGTTATTACATTTATTATTTTTCTCTATTTATTATTATTATTACATTTATTATTTTACTCTATTTATCATCATCATCATCATCATCATCATCATGCTAAAATAACATATAAAACAGTCCATTTTCCAATTTAAAGCAAAACAGCTGAGAACCGCATATTTAGAGTCAATTGGGGTAAACTGTAGAGGTGGTGAAGATATTTGATTTGGATCGGGACCTTGTTAACAGCTTGTTTATTTGAACTTATGTTGTACTGTATATGTATGTATTTGTCAAATGTTTCTGATACAGCCAATGGGCTAATCAATAAAATGAACTTGTACATTTACATTATTATCAACAATAATATTATTATTACATTTATTATCTTACCCTATTTATTATTATTACATTTATCATTTTACTTTATTATTATGTTTATTATTTAACTTTATTATTGTTATTACATTTATTATGTTACTTTATTATTATTATTATTATTATTATTTCATTTATTGTTTTACTCTATTATTACTATTATTACATTTCCATTATTTTACTCTATTATTATCTTTATTACATTTAGTATTTTATTCTCTTTATTATTATTATTGGAAGGATACGTAAGCATATTTACATTGATGAAGGTTAGAATAATGGTTTAATCAGAGCTGGACAATCTTATCTTAAATTACAGATTTATGTAAATATTAAAAAACATTTAACCTACAGATGCCTCAAGTAATGTAATTTTATTGGTATCTATTTTTATTTTGAAATTGACCATTAGCTGCTGCATTTCCCACCCTCAGTTTATACTCGAGTCAATACGTTTTCCCAGTTTTTTGTGATAAAATTAGGTGCCTCGGCTTATATTCGGGTCAGCTAATACTCAAGTATATATGGTACTTACAATGACTTGAGGATAAGGCGACTCCGATTATTTGGATGGTATTTTGTAACTAAAATTGTAAGATTTATATAGTAATTTTTCAGTTTGCCCTGCAAAGCATGAGACTGATATAATCTCAAAAATCCTCGTGGCCAATAAAATGATCACAAAAAGCTGGTGTTGTAATTGACATTTGTGTTCTGGAGCCTCAGAGAGAGACCAGCAAAAGCAGATGCCGAAAGACGCAAATGAGCAGCAGAACATCACAATTGCTAATTGGATTATCTTCTTGGGTAAGAGGCCACTATGGAGACATTACCACCCTTCATGCTTGGGGCAATTTGGGGTTATTTGTGGAACTAATTTGTGAAGAAGCCCCTGAAGCTGTTGCACGGGTAGCATCCAACCCACTGGTGCTGGGATTCCTTTTAAAGTCTTTGAATTCATTAAGAGTTCTCTGATAATTCACTCTTTGGATCCAATCCTCAGCTCACTCATAAAGAATAGAAACCATCTCCCTTATGAGCGCCGAGTAACAAGGCTGCTTAGCATATTCGGGACCTCTTTTTACCTTTTGGGGGAAAGATTTTTAATGAGGTTGCTGAATAGGCCATCAAGCCCCATTTTCAATTACGCATACAATGAGATTACAACCCAGGCTTTTCTTTGAATGAGAGCTGGGGAAATGAAATTAGAGCCTCAAGTGGGTATTTTGGGTTAGCAGTCAAAATTCCACGCTTTCTCAGTCTGCTTGGTAGGCCTGAAGAGGACACTGGGAGATCCGCATACATTTACATTGATCATAGTCGACAATCCGAAGAAACGATAACAGTATTTCTAGATTTTGCCACGACAAGTTACTTTTCTTTCAGTTGACAAAGAATAAGAGCTGAGCAAGATTTTGTGTGTGATTGGAATTGGCTTTTATAGGACACATGCTTAAAAAGGGACCTAAATATTGTCCTAACAGAAGTGTTTGGACGCTCTTGCTATGCATTGCTTTGCTGATGAGGTCTTGCATTTTGCAAAGTGCTGGTAGAGCAGGAAGGTACCTCCCAAAAAGCCTAAAGGTATCCCTTTCCACACAGAACACTTCTACATAGATGTTATCCTACTTTCACGTCCACACTACTCTGCAGACCAAATAACCAATGTAAAATGATTAAGCTAACACATTTCATACTCTTATCTCTAATATGGGTTGCTGGCCAAGCAGACCTCAAATATATACCATACATACTAGAGTATAAGCCAAGTTTTTCATCCCTTTTTAGGCTTCTACGAGTCAAAAGTTATTTATTATTTTACTGAGTTATTATTATTATTATTTTATTACATTAATTATTTTACTCTATTTACTATGATTATTAAGGAGCCCCCAGTGGTGCAGTGGGTTAAAGCGCTGAGCTGCTGAGCTTGTTGACTGAAAGGTCGCAGGTTCGATTCCGGGGAGCGGCATGAGCTTCCGCGATCAGCCCCAGCTTCTGCCAACCTAGCAGTTCAAAAACATGCAAATGTGAGTAGATCAATAGGTACCGCTCCCGCGGGAAGGTAATGGCGTTCCATGCAGGCCACATGACCTTGCAGATGTCTACGGACAACGCTGGCTCTTCGGCTTAGAAATGGAGATGAGCACCACACCCCAGAGTCGGACACGACTGGACTTAATGTCAGGGGGCAACCTTTACCTTTACCTACTATGATTATTATTACATTTATATTATTTTATTATTATGTTTATTATATTTAGTATTTTACTCTCTTTATTACTACATTGTTCTTACATTTATTTTACTCTATTTTTATTAATTTATTATTTTATTCTAATATTATTATTATGTTTACATCATTTTACTCTATTATTATTATTACATTTATTATTTTACATTATTATTACTGTTATTATTACATGTCCATTGTTTGACTCTATTATTATTATTATTATTATTATTTATTACATTTATTGTTTTACTCTATTATTATTGGAAGGATATGGAAGCACATTGACACTGAAGGTTAGATTAATGGTTTAATCAGAGTTGGACAGTCTTATCTTAAATTACAATTTTATGCAAATATTCAGAAACATATAACCTACTGATGCCTCAAATAATATAATTTTAATTTTATCTATTTCTATTTTGAAATGTATCAGTAGCTGCTGCATTTCCAGCCCTAGGCTTACACTCGAGTCAATACGTTTTCCCAGTTTTTGTGGTAAAATTAGGTGCCTCGACTTATATTCGAATATGTTGAAACTTGAATATGGATGCAATTGTCATGGAGCCCTCTCAGATTTCATCAATCAGTATGTATGAGAGGTTAGGATTTTTAGGTTTATATAAAATCTCATAGTCTCTCCAACAAGTTGGTCTAAAAAACAAGCTTGTCTCACTAAAATCATAAACAACATTTTGTTTCCGAAACTATAAAGGTCAATTGTGTCTTTATGATCCATTCCAATAAGCCTATGTTACCAAAGAAAGCAGAATGTCTGGTAATGCTTAAAAGAATAAGGATGATTTAATATTAGAATACACCCTTAGCAGAATTTAAGGTCTACTTACCACATCAAGCTCTGCTTCCTTTTTAAAAACAGAGTATGCCTCTTCATAGCCATTAGAACGAAGATAATCTGCTATCGCTCGATTTCTAAACAAAACAAGACATAGGTCTCACATTTACATTCATATTACAGCCCTGAAGAGATCCCAGCCTCTTACACCCACGAAGCCTCCCTTCTCTTTCCATTTCAAAGAGAAATCATAATTATAGCTTGCAATGATATGGATTTTTATAGGCAATGTTCTCACCAAGAGATGTTGTGGAGCAATTTGCTCCATATTCACTGTAACAAAAATCTTCTAGAACTTAAGGGTTGTGATAGCCGTTAGATCAGAGATCACCTAGTGCTAGATTTGGGTTCTGGTGATTGCTTTTCTGGTTTTTAGGCTTTAAAATCTTACAAAACACTCAAGAAAATTATTTTGAATGTTTCAGGGTGGATTTTGATGGTTAGCATTCCAAAATCCATTCTCCAGCTGTTTTGGCCTCCAACTCCCAGAAGCCCTTGCCAGCTTGTTCAATGGTCAGGAATTTTGTGAGTTGGAGGCTCAAAATGCCGGAGGGCCGAAAAAGAGTGTTGTGACTCAGCGTCTGTCTCATGTACCTACTAGTAGTAGTAGAAGGAAACGAGGTTTGGAAGAGGAAGACGCTCAGCAACAGCTGAAGCGTATTAGAGACTTGTTCCTAGAGCCTACGGATGAGGAGGATTTTGAGGGGTTTACTCGCGAGGAAATGGAGGTGGAGGATTACCGCGGTGTAAAGCGAGTAGCACGCAGCTCGGATAGTGATGAGGAATCTGTTTCTAAACGCCTTAAAGATGTAGCTGATTGTGAGGAGTTTGACAGCGAAGAGGAAGAGCTGGACTGGACCAAGGTCCAGGAAGTGTTAGATGTGGTTAATGCTCCCACTTCTAGTGATGAGTTCCAGGGTTTTACTGACACTTGGGTTTCAGATACTACTTTGCAGGATGCAGTCCGAAGTACAGAATGGCAGCAATGGAGAAGTCGTGATTCACCTGTGGAAATGGATGCACCTGGAAGTGACTCCAGCGACTTGGATGAGATTTAAGGAGCAGTTTGGGAGCAGTCTAGTTGCAGAGTTCAAAGTGTCGTGTTACCGTGTGCCTTGTGTTTAACTCTTGCCCTGAGCTCCTGCTTTCAGCTTCGTGGATTCCTGATCGTGTGGACGACCTTGCCGGAACTGGATTCGTGAGTCTTATCTCCTGCCCTGACCCTCGGACTGCCTGACCACTCTACGCTCCTGCTTATCCCTTGGTGACTTCGTTGGACCGCTCCTCATGCGGATTGCTGTTTGCTGTTTTGTTTGGATTTGGAATGGACTGAGTTTCTGCCGCTGACTTCAAGCCGTACTGCCTGTGTTATTGCTGCTTTCCTTTTCCCAGCGAGGACTGACTGGGACTTGGTTTGTTTACATTCTTGCTGGCTGCAAGCCCTTTTGTGTTTACCGCTCTGCTTTTAAGAGCCCTTTTTCTTATGTTAATTGACATTAAAGACCTTTGTTTAACTCCTTAACTGCTGTCTTGCCTTGCTGGTCTGCCTGGGTCTTGACAAAGAGGGTGCCTGAACTACAGTGTCACACTTGCTAATCTGATTCCTATCCACCCATACATGGGAAATCACAAGAAAAAATGAATAGTGTTTATATATAAAATCTCTGCTTGCGTATGTTTGTGCTCGCAAAACTCAGAAAGTACCGTATTTTCTGGTGTATAAGACTACTTTTTAACCAAGAAAATCTTCGCAAAGGTCAGGGGTCATCTTATACGCAGGAGTAGCCTTATACGCCCAGTTGTCTTGTATGTTGGAAAATACAGTAGTCGGTCGATTGACTTGACACTTTGATACAATGTTGCATGTTTTTATAGCAAAATGAAATGTCGACACAGCGCTGCATTCGAATACATGCATGTATTCAGAGTAAAACTAGCATCCATGAATAGACCAAGTAGAATCTGTGATGTCCAAAGCAAACACTCACAGCCTACCTTTACTACCTCAGCAGTATAAGAAATGAAAATTGAGCTTGAGCAACCAATCGCTGTGCAGTTTTCCTTTTACAACCTATCCCTGAACAACTTTCATTTTACCTCAGCAGTAAAAGAAATAACAACCAATCACAGCAAGCTTTCCTTTTACCTCAGCGGTATAAGTTATAACAACCAATCACTGAGCAGCTGTCATTACACCTCGGCAGTATAAGAAATGAAAGCTGAGGTGTGATTGGTTATTAGCACACTACCCATTCCGAGTGTCACGGTGTTCAAGTACTAATGACTTCAGTTTCCAATATGCCTTGCGTTTGCTATGACTATCAATAAAGCACAGGGGAAATCTTAGCAAGTGTGTGGATTGAAATTAAGAAAATAATTGCTTCTCTCTTGAACACTTGCATGCACCAGAGTAACAATCATATCTTTATGTTTGTGCAGAAAATAGACAAATCAAAAATGTATGTTCGGGTTTAGCTAGTATGTGTATGTGTATACACACAAACATGCATGAATGTCAAGGATGGAAACATTTGACAGTTGATTTTGTCTACTAAATTCTCACCGGCCACAATAGTGGTTAGATACGATATTAATGTAGCCTAACATTATCTGGAGGAAAGCTGATTGGAAAGGCTGGCTAAAACTATACTACCATACATTTACAGAGTCCATCTCACATATTAAAAGTACTCTACATACATTGACAAGCAACATTTACAAACACCACATAGAATAAGCCAAAATACCCTTCTCTAAACTAGTTGAAAAGCCAACTCAGGTAAGATACTCGAACCAAGGTAACAACTCCCACTCTTAATTATTACATGACGCCAGTTCTCAGTGTGTATGTTTCACATTCTCTGTTGGCTTATTGTGAGCCCATTAATTTATAGGGTTTTCTTATGCAAGGAATATTCAAGGGATGGCTTGGCCAGGTCCTTCCAGTGAAATACGGGGCACTCTACTATCCAGTTTAATTTATCCACATTCAACAATGTACCACTACTACTTTATTCTTATATCCCGCCACCATCTCCCCGAAGGGACTTGAGGTGGCTTACAGACAGCACAAAATGCTTTAAAAAAAAATAAACGTAAACACAATATAAAATACAATAAAATAAAAGACATGCACATATAAAAACATCAAAAACTCTATGTCCTCTAATGTGACTCTATGGCACTTTTGGCCCAGAAGTCCGTCATTTAAATAGGGTTTGATATTATCCACACAAAGACACGGAACGTATGCTCCATGGATAGAGGTCGTACTGGATAGCTCTCAGGACCTAGTCTTCAGTGATGGCCCATTCAACTAAAAACCAAAGCTGCCCTTGTTCATTTTCCTAGATTGGATGCACATGGTATTATTATGATATTTAGGCCCTTCCAGTTCTCAGCATGCATGACTACTTTAGAATCATAGAATCATAGAGTTGGAAGAGACCTCATGGGCCATCCAGTCCAACCCCTGCCAAGAAGCAGGAATATTGCATTCAAAGCACCCCTGACAGATGGCCATCCAGCCTCTGTTTAAAAGCTTCCAAAGAAGGAGCCTCTACCACACTCCGGGGCAGAGAGTTCCACTGGTAAACAGCTCTCACAATCAGGAAGTTCTTCCTCATGTTCAGATGGAATCTCCTTTCTTGTAGTTTGAAGCCATTGTTTCCATGTCCTAGTCTCCAGGGAAGCAGAAAACAAGCTTGCTCCCTCCTCCCTGTGACTTCCTCTCATATTTATACATGGCTATCATGTCTCCTCTCAGCCTTCTCTTCTTCAGGCTAAACATGCCCAGCTCTTTAAGCCGCTCTTCATAGGGCTTGTTCTCCAGACCCTTGATCATTTTAGTCGCCCTTCTTAAAGGTGGGAGGATTAATATCTACTATATCCATAAAAAAGGAGTTAATTATACCATACAATACTGTACTTCCCAGTCCCACTTGGTAGAAAATTAACATTGAGATGCCACACTTTTGTGGAATACATGATAGACTTAAAATGCTGGCAGCAAAAGAGCAACATGTAGAAGCCATATTTTAATGCATTTTAGGATACCAAATGAGCAGAAGTACTTCAAAACAATTTTTTTAACCACTACTATCCTGGGAGACTTTAGAAGCAACACAGATCATGAGAAGAGAAATGTTTCCCATTTGTGCTACAGATGTTGAGTTAGAGGTCGGTTAATGGAAACAGCTATCTGTAAGCATTAAAGGTTTGTAATGAGACACTGGGGTTACTTACAGCTCATCCCGTTGCCTCTGCGACAGCACCATGGTGGCTGTAGTGTCAGGTTAACGTCGCTCGGTGGTCTCCTTGTCAAGCAGCTCTGAGAGTTTGAGGTCCACAGTTTGGTTTGCCACAAAGTGGCTCCAACCAAAGGACAGCTCTTTTCCACAGGTAAACTCCAAAAAGAAGAGAAGATGCATTCAACAAGGATTCATTCCATCTAAGAAAAAGAATAGTAAGGATAAGAAATACATATTTTACTTTTATAGAAGTTGTTTGTTCCAACAACTACACAATTCATTGATTTTTCATTAGCAAAACCAAATAATGTGCCAAATTTATTTATTTATTATTTATTTCAAGCATTTGAACCCCACCCTTCTCAACCCCCCCATTGGGGGGGGGCGCTCAGGGCAGCTTACAGCCGGCACAATTTGATGCCATACATAACAAATAGTACATTAAATTAGAAAGTACAATGATAAACGTATAATAATACTGACTGTATAGCGTTTTATCTAGAAATGAATTCAGTGAACACAACACAATCGGAAGCCTATCCATAGTCCATTTTCCATAGCTTTTTCATCATTGTCATTGTCAATTATCTGCAAGCTACCCAAAGGCCTGGTCCCATAACCACATTGTCAATTTCCTCCTGAAGGAGAGGAGGGATGCTGTTGATCTGATTTCGCTGGGGAGTGAGTTCCACCACCAAGAAGGCCCTGTCCCTCGTGTTTGTGCCAAAGGCGGGGCCGAGAGCAGGGCCTCCCCAGAAAATCTTAAACTTCGAGGTGGTAGCTAAATATAAATTATGGCAAATTGAAAGCCAAAAACTACAGCATTTATTTGATTCTAAGATATATCCCCCCCCCCCATATAAACATTTCTGAAAATTAGAATCACGAGTTACAGATATCTTTTCGTTCTGTTAGTGGTACTGAAGTTAGTGTATGTCTTACAATTGATGGCATTTTAGTATCAAAGAAATAAATACAGTAATTGGGTTACAAAGAATTCAGGAATATRGCTTTGGAGGAAGAAAGGAGTTYGTCATTCAGCTAGACGGGGWGRATTTCCAATGTGAACTCCATCTTGAAATAGAGAGCCATCCCATTACTGTATGTACTCATGTATACATCAGCATTGCTACAGTACATCGTAGCAGGATCAAGTGTGTGTGTTAAAGAAAAACCTTATGATGTTAATTGTTATGTGCAGCTGGTAATGTAGGTCAGCCAGCATGTTTGGGCCACACTYGATGGAGTATAACTGTATGGATTTTAGAATACAGTTTGGAGAAGCAATATGCTGTAATGCTGCTATGCTCTAACAACGATGCTCTTTGCTATGGTGGAATAGCTATTTACTCAAGGTTTATGTTTTGCTCTTCCATTTGAATGAAGATGAAAAAGCCTTATGAGCTCTGCCCATGTCCTCCACAAACACCATTCTGCCCACCACCCAAGTGAAGGCTTTCATACTAGGACAATTTCATTCTAGATCTTTTGTTTTTCCTCCACTTCAGATATCCCAGTGTTTCTGACTCTCTCCATTGGTGTGGAATTTGCATGACCCCCACCCTTAACCCTTTCCTATTCTTTTCTTTGGCACACAGGAAACAGAGGAATTGATCTGCAACTGAACATACTAGAGAGATTTGGGAAGAATACACCATGATTTATAGAAGTTGTAGCTCCTGGAATGTATAGTTCACCTGCAATCTTAAAGCATTCTGAACTCCACCAATGATGAACTTGGAACTAACTTGGAACTAACACGGAACTGCCATGACCAAGAAAAAATACTGGCCGTCTTTGGAGGGATTTATAGGAGTTGTAATTCACCAAGATCCAGGGAACACTGTGAACCCAAACACCGATGGAGCTGGACCAAACTTGGCACACATACCTGATATGCCGAAATGTGATTACTGGAGGAGTTTGAGAGGAAGTGACCTCCCTTTCTGCAAGTTGTAGTTCACCCACAACCAAAGAAACTATGACCTCCACCGATGATGGACCTGGACCCAACTTGGCACACAGAACTCTCATGACTAATTCAACCTAATGCAGGGTTTTGAGGGGACTGACTCACTATGGTGGGAGTTGCAGTTTACCCTACAGCCAGAGAGCACACTGAACCCCACCTATGATGCATCTGGAGTTTCAGAGGGTTAAACCAAACCCTTTGTTGGTTAAACCCTTGTGCCAGCAGGACTGAAGACCAACAGATCGGAGGTTCGAATCCAGGAAGAGCGAGGATGAGCTCTGTCAGCTACAGCTCCCCATGCAGGGACATGAGAGGAGTCTCCCACAAGGATGGTAAAACATCAAACATCCGGGTGTCCCCTGGGCAACGTCCTTGGAGACAGCCAATTCTCTCACACTAGAAACGACTCACAGTATCTCAAGTTGCTCCTGACCCAAAAAAAGGGGGTTAACCTGATGTGAGTCTTAGTTCACCCACAACCTTATGTATTTTGTACAATTAAAAAATTGACTTTTTCAAGTAATCTGGGCAATACAGGGTACCCAAGCTTGTATGTATGTGTATGTGTGTGCGTGTATAATATTTTGTGTATTGAATATATAATATAATATAATATAATACAATACAATACATATTCTTTCTCCTATCTGGAAACTACTTACTATAGAAATTGATTTACAGATTGTTTCTGGAAACCTTCAGATGTTGCTGAATGACAGCTTCCTGCAAGCCTCATTACTAGCTATACTGGCTGTACCTCCTGCCTTTTGCAGTCAAAAGATATCTGAAGACAGAAAGCCATCTTGATATTGTATTTATACCACAAAAGAAACCAGTACGTATGTTAGAGGTTTCAGCTATTAGACAGTACCTGATAACACTGCTGCCTTCCCCTCTGAAACCAATGACCTCCTTTGGTCTCCTTTCCACAACTTCTGTCCACGCCCTACTACAAAGGAGCAAGGACTCCTGACTTACGTTATTATTATTATTATTATTATTATTATTAATTGCACATTTAGAATCAATTGGGGTAAACTGCGGAGGGGACGCAGATATTTGACCTGAATGGGATCTTGCTAACAGTTTGTTTATTTTAACTTCTTTTATACCGAGGGTTGTATGTTGTATGTATGACTATGTGTTAAATGTGTTTATGTGTTAAATGTTTTGATACGGCCAATAGGCCAATCAATAAAATGTATCTATCTATTAATAATAATAATAATAATAATAATAATAATAATAATAATAATCTTTATTTATACCCCATCACCATCTTTCAAATGGGGTTTCAGGGCGGCTAACATGAGGCCAAGCCCAAAAACAATACGATGAAATAAAATTCAACACAACAACAGAAAAAGTAAACACAGCAAAATACATAATGCAACAAAATAAAATAAACAATGAAAAATAACACACTAAAATCACAATAAAATCAATCACACAAGGTGGGCCAAATGTGCAAGATAAAATGATAAAAGCATTAAAACCCTCGCTGAGATAGGAAAAATAAAAAAAATGTATTTGTAATTATTTAAACTTTGAATCCTGTTATTTACAATTGATTTCATCTGGTGAGCATACACATAAAAAGGCACCATATCGCCATATTCTTGAATATGTATGGAATGTTATTCTTTGCCAGCTTTCTACATGGCTTCCGCCATTGTAAGATATTATTGTTCCCACTGCACAGAACACCAAAATTCTTTTTTTTAAGGAAGAAGGTTAAGCAGAGAGTTTAATTATTGCAGTTCATTGTACATACATTTTACTTACTCATTCATCACACTCAAGGTATTTACATGAAATGAATCTGACAACAGTACAGCTCATGTAACCTCACTTGCATTAGTGCACAAGTTGTGATGACTCATCGGCAAAAAGGCCCATGATTCTAGAGAAAAGCACTACTATGCTTTTTAACATATTAAATATGTAAGCAAGCTGCAGATTGTGCCATAATGGACATAATGAAAAAATATATAGAGAATAATAATAATAGCTTTAACACAGTTAACATGCGATTGAAACACATTGACTAGCTTCAATGTTTTTTCTTTATATTCATGAGAATTAATACTATTCTTTAAAATCCACAACTTAACAAGCAACTGGTTGTCTAATTATTAATAACGCCTGAATGCTATCCATCTTATGAGGGGATGCTTAGCATTTAGTTTTTATCTCACCGCTAGTCTTATAAAACCACACCTAGCAATACTAGATCAGGCAGGTCAAGTTGTCAAATTCGCATGTATCCAATCCATTCAAGTTCTCCTTAGAAAACCTTCTTAAAATATCTGTTGCATAAGAACACAGCTATCCATTTTGCAACGAAGCCATGCTTTTGTAGCAGGCAAGAAATGCAAAAAGAAACCCCAACACCATTCTGAATTAGCAAGGTGCCAGCAGGCCACATTGGTGAGCTGAAGGCTCTAGCCATCAAAAAAATAAATAAATAAGGTGATCTATTTTTTTCACCCCTATGGCTCAGAACCACTGCAAAATACAGGAGTCCTCCTCCTCAAAATCCCCAAAATATTTCATCTGGCATGATTTCACAGCAGTTTTTTTTTGGGGGGGGGGGAATACCTGGATTTTTTAGGGGCATCTGGAGGTTTTAGAGACTGGACCTTAAGGGAGACAGAAAGACCAATGAGTTGTCGAAGGCTTTCATGGCCAGAATCACTGGGTTGCAGTGAGTTTTCCGGGCTGTATGGCCATGTTGCAGAAGCATTATCTCCTGATGTTCCACCCACACCTATAGCAGGCACCCTCTGAGGTTGTGATGTCAGTTGGAAACTGACCAGGCTGTGGTGCAGGTAGTTAGTAGCCATCTGCATTAAATCACTACTGACCAAGAGATCATGAGTTCAAACCCAGCCCGGGTCAGAGTCTAGCTTCCTGTTGACCTATGCAGCCCGAAAGACAGTTGCATCTGTCAAGTAGGAAATTTAGGTACCACTTATGCAGGGAGGCTAATTTACCTAATTTACGATACCATAAAACCTTCCAGCAGCGTGTGTAAGAATGAGGAAGTACTCCATCCAGGACTTGGTGTCACAAGTGGACGGTGAAGCGGCTGGAATCGAGCATATCCTCATGAAGCCGGAAAGCTGGAATGTTAAATTGCCTCTGTGTCTGTCTATATATGTTTGCCATGGATATGTGCATTGTAATCCACCCTGAGACCCCTGCAGGGTGAGAAGGGTGGAATAT